CGAACTCATGTAGCGTTTTAGGATTGGCAGATGTAATCGCACTCTTGACCGTTTTGACCAAATTCTCTGCCGCTTCGTTCGAACAGGAGTGACGTGGCGCACCTCGAAGATGTTTGCAACCGATGCTGTCCATCCAAAGCTTCATTTCGGTCGCACAGAACTGAGATCCATTGTCCGTCACAAGCTCTTGTGAAACCCCGTCGCGACTAAAACATTTCCGTATTACTTGTATCACAAATGAAGTTGTAGGCGTAGTCGTGAAGAATACGTCTGGCCATTTGGAGTATGAATCGATCAGAACAAGGGTGCAATAACGGTTCAGAAATGGACCACAGAAATCCAAATGAACCCTTTGCCATGGTATGTAACTTTCCGATCATAGTGTCCAGTTTTTCGGCCTTGTTCGTAGTTTATGTAAATATGACCCACAGTTCTTGGCTGTTGCGTAAATGTTTGCTTCCAACTCCGGCCACCAACATATCTGTTGAGCCAATGGTTTCACCTTCTCCATCCCCATATGCCCATATGCAATTCATCTAGTACCGTCTTCCGTAGTGGCGGTGGGATTACCAAACGATCGTCGCGACTCAAAACATCTTCCAATTGCACTGACAAACCCTCTCGGTGAGCAAAGAATTGAGGATACTTTCTCTTTACCTATTGTGACTAGCCTTTCTTGATGGCTGAGAGTATGGCTGAGTAGTATTATTTGGTAGGCTTGCGTAAAGATTCCCGAGACACTGGTAATACTGTGGTGACGAAATAACACTTTTCAGCCTTCGAAAATAGTGAGTAGCGAGAGAGGAAATCAGCCTGCGGGATTGTCATTCCTGGAACATATTGGATGTCATAGTTTTACGGTGCTCGGGCGATGCTCCACCTCTGTAGCATAGCAGCAGTGGACTTCGCGATGGATTTGTTGGGGTCGAACAAGAACTGCAGCGTTTGGTGGCCAGTGATGATGGTAAATCGCGATCCCAAAAGGGTATTTGTGCAATGGTCGAACAGCCCAAAATGCAGCCAACGCTTCTTTTTGAGTCTGCGAATAACCCTTTTTAGCTGCATTAGGTAGACGTGAAACACAGATTACTGGGCACCACTCCTGTTCTAATACAGCATCGATTCCGACGTCGGACGAATCGGTAATGAGTATAGTAGGTCTTGATGGTGAAAAAGGGACCAAAACAGGACGATCAGTAACGCAGCGAATTAAACCAAGTAAGATATCCTCAAACTCCACCGACCATTCCCAAGTGTCTGAACACTGAGCACGGAAAAGCGGCTGCGCCCTTGTAGCAAAGTTCGGGATAACTCGGGAATAGTACTGTAGGCATCTCATCACGGATCTCAAATGCGTTTGATCCATTGGAGATTCAATGTTGGTCAATAGTTTTAAACTTATCGGATCGGGTAGGTATCCACGGCAATCAACTGTGAATCCTAGAAACTCCAACTCACTCACACCAAACACACATTTGGACGGCTTGATAGCCACGTTCCTGGCGGTGAATCGTTCCAGTAGCTGCGTTATTCGGGCATCGTGTTCTTTCTTATTAAGGCCGAAAATGAGGATGTCATCTTGATATGCAAGCACACTGTCGAGTCATCACTTTGCTCACACATTTTTCAAGCCTCAGCAAACGTGATATCTTTCTTTTCCAAAATCGTACATTGTAATGAGATTTTGTTAAGTTCAGCAATGAGACTATCACAAAGTTGTTCTTCCAATCGATCACCATAGTTGCATTTTGACGCCTGCTGGTTCAGCTGAAGAATGAACTCACGGTATGGCATGTTGGCAGCTCTGATCATTGAGTTGAATTTGGCCCGTTCAGTGGCCTGAAAATTCACTGGGAGAATGTGGTCCAGCAATAGGGATTTTGACTTGACGAACGGCAATTCAGCAGGAATATTCGGGAACGCTAGATTCTTCAGGGAATACAGTTCTCGGCCGCCCAACGTCAAAAATGGAACCGATTGACTTTGCATTCCTCCTTTCCAGATGCTGCATCATAATTCGAAACGTTCTACCCACTGTTCGATTTCCGAAGGGCTTCCGTGGAGGTTCAATGGTTCAATGGCAGGAATCTCCATTGCGCGACGTCAAATTGTAGTAATCAGAATGTTATTGAATATCGGAATGCGAGAACCCGTAATGTAATGCTCAGAACTGGATCGGCTCCAACCCGAACTGTGGACACCTATGGAACACCAATTGGAAGCAGCAAATGCTTATGCTTACTGATAGAATTAGAGCATGTTTAACAGAGAGTAATATTCCATGTCATTGGTTGAAGGACTGTCGTCCCATCACACATCACATGTACTAACTCGGATGTAATGTTCGCCTGGTGTACTATTGGCCGAGCTACCTGAACGGCGATTGGATGACATGAAGCTGTACCTGGTCGTACTTGTACTGCGGTCACGTGTGTCAGGATCACCACACTAACTTAGTCACACATGCCCCAGATCCTATCACACCCCATGACATGAACTGACTAACTACCTCTGAAGACGATAAACCAGAACAAACATGATTTGGTAACTCGGTTAAACCTGGTCATGAGCTGGCGGACACAGTGGTAGACACAGTGGTAACACATACGCCTTCCATACCATGGATTCGGCGTTTCAGTCTCGAACGGAACTGTGAATATGCACTACTGATGAGCTCTAAGGGTGAGTCTAGTGCTTCCGAGTATGTTTGACGGGAAGAGCAGAGGAATGTGTGTAAGGATGAAGTCCAAAGGATAGTCAGTTCTAATCAATAAATTAACACATTTATGCCGTTAAACTTTCGCGTACGTCCACGGGTCTGTAAGTTTGTGTTTGCATGTGTGTATTTACTCCCCACCACTTGAATAATCCGGTCAGGCTATGTTCCGCTGATGAATCAAGCTCGATCGATATACTCGTCACTGATATCTGTACCATTTTAAGATTGATTTGAGAAGCTATCACTTCGATTTGGGAAATCACCAATTTGAACTGAGAAAAAACGCTATGGATGGATTCGCTTCCGGTCAGTGCACCTCATTGGTCCATCGATCAGATG